TTTGTGGGGGGGTTTCAAAAAAAAAAAAAGCCACTCCTCAAGAAAGGCCACATGCAGTCACGACTGAGCTTTTCCAAAACACACCTTGAAGATTCTGAGGCAGATGAGACTAAAATTGAATTATCTGGCCTCATCACCAAACGATATGTCTGGCGGAAATCCAATACAGCTCACCATCCAAATAACACAATTCCTACAGTAAAGCATGGAGGTGGTAATATCCTGTGATGGGGGTGTTTCTCTGCAGCAGGGACTGGAGCACTTGTCAGGATAGATTGAAAAATGGATGGGGCAAAATACCGTCAAATTCTCTGCCAGAAAGTTGTCAATGGGAAAAAGGTTTACCTTCCAACATGACAATGACACAAAGCACACAGCAAAACAGAACACACTGGTTGAAGGAGATAAAGGTGAATATCCTTACATGGCCTAGTCAGAACCCAGACATAAACCCCATTGAAAATCTGTGGAATGACTTGAAGACTGCAGTCCACAGTTACCATCACATTTAACTGAACTTGAGCAGTTCTGCAAAGACGATTGGGCAAATATAGCAATGACCAAATATGCAAAGTTAGTAGAGACGTATCCCAACAGACTAAAGGCTGTAATTAAAGCAAAAGGGGGTTCAACAAAATACTGGCACAAGGGGGTGACCCATTTTCCAACTCAGTGATTCTGTTTTTTTTCCTGATATGTTGGTGTTATATCTTTCACTTGGATGTTATAAGTTGCACTGAGTAAATACAGCTGGATAAAACAAAAATTGTGTCCATCTTCATTTCAGGATGCAAAGCAACAAAATGTGATTATTTTAAAGGGGGTGATTATTTTCTATACCCACTGTATGTTCAGATTTCCTGAATCCGCTACTAGCTTATAGCCTGTATCTTCTGCGCAGGTAACCGTAATCATGAAGGGTGACAAGAGCATCTGAGCTGTCATGCTTCACGCTGGGGGTGAATGACATCAAGCTGCGGCAGACTGAGATTCTGAAGAGGGACTTTAGGAGCCTGATCGAGACAGTACGCAGCACATCGCCCGTGACAAGGATCATTGTATCAGGACCACTTCCCACGTATCAACAGGGACATGAAAGGTTCAGTAGACTTTTTGCTCTAAATGAATGGTTATTGTCATGGTGTAAAGAACAGAAGCTGCTCTTTGTTAATAATTGGAATCTTTTCTGGGAGCGACCTAGGTTTTTTCATGCTGATGGCCTGCACCCCAGCAGAGTCGGAGCTGAACTCCTGTCGGACAACATCTCCAGGACGTTACACTCCATATTACTAGTAAGCCAATTCTCAAATAACTGCTATGATGGTTAATGTTGATAAAGCGCTAATTGTCGGACACTTTAACATTCAGGTTGATAATACAAATGATGCATTAGGACTTGCGTTTACAAGTGCCAAACAAAACGTCACTGGACCCACTCATCGTTTTAATCATACGCTAGATTTAATGATAAAGAACCTCGTAATCTTGAGTGCAAATGGAGAAAAACTAACCTTTAAAAACTAAGTTTTTAGAATTGCATGTAAAAACAGTATATCCAGCTATAAACAGGCTCTAAAAGCTGTCTGGGCAGAGCATTTCTGCAGACACATGGAAAATAACCAAAACAATCCAAGGTTTTTATTTAGCACAGTGGCTAGTCTGATGAGTGTATGTTGTTACACTAGATTATTGAAATAATTAGTAACTAACTGTATTAATTTTAGGGTATTTTATTGTGAAATTTGTTTTGGAATGTGAGCATAAGCTTAATAGTGTTATTTTCATTTCTTTATATGTTTTCGTTTTGTTTTTCTAAATTTGGTAAATTATAAAATGTAAGGTAGCACTACTACGTAGGTTATATCATGCATGCGCGAGGGCAAAGCTGATAATTTCCGTACACGCTCTCTCTTTCGCTGGATTTCATTGCGAGAGGCACTGCTTGTTACGGAAGGAGACTCACACAGAGGATTAGAAAAAAATACAATATCGTTTATTTTCAACAAGGAGTGCAGATGGTTCGGGCAGGTGAGTAATTGAGCTGAATATCAGTCTTTAAGTGAGATGATGAGAGTAACACTGTATTTGGTCCTCCAGGAGATCGTGGAATGGAGACAGAGGACTGCACACACCTCAGTTGAAGAGTACACAGAGCTTTCACGGAGCTGACGACTGGAACGGACTAGGGAATGGGACACAGGAGAACACACTGGAGGAAACACAGGAGGTAAGTATATCAGGAAGGTAAGTCTTTCAATGTATCTCACGGATAGCATAGAGAGGGAGTCCACTTCGTTGAAACAAGACCGGACACTGGAGTGAAGTGAGGTGTGTGCTTTTGAAGGGGAGCTGATAATGATTGCAGATTTGTGACAAGTGCGTGATCAGTATTCAGGTGATGGTGTTCACTGTGATTGGGAGGTGGCTGAGCCTGGCCGATCTGTGACAGTACCCCCCCTCCACGGCCCGCTCCTGAGGGCCGAAAACCCTGACGTTGTGGTGGTCTACCTCTTCCTCGGGGCCCAGGGCACTATGGTGAGAGTTGATGTTCCGCAATGCAAGATTGCATACGAGTAGCGCAGCGGATGGATAGTTGTATAAACCGTTCCAAGCCATAGGAATCATCATAGGCTGCGAGCTGAAGTTGCACCTTCGGCTCCAGTCCTTGCCGGTAGGTGGTCAGAAGGGCGCGCTCATTCCAGCCGCTGGCTGCTGCGAGGGTTCTGAATTTTAGGGCGTAATCATTTATGGACAGAGACCCTTGACGGAGATGATATAACTGGTCACAGACAGAGGTATCACCTATGGGTTTACCAAATACTTCTCGGAAATGTGCAATAAAATTATCAAGGGATTTAGTTACTGTACCGGCTTGGGACCAGATGGTCTCTGCCCATTGAAGTGCTCGCCCCGTCAGCAGTGATATGATGAATGCTATCTTAGCGCTTTCCGTAGCGTAAAGAGGTGGCTGCATCTCCAGTGCGAGCGAACACTGCAGCAGAAATCCGTTGCACTCCTCCGCCGAGCCAGAGAAGGGCGCTGGTCTGGCCATGGGACCGGTAAGTACTGTCGTGGAAGAAGCAGCGTTGGTGACGGGCATGACAGGTGGTGTGACAATGGCAGGGGTGAGTATCTGTTTGAGGGCATCCACGATCTCCTGGAACGGGTCGGGTGCACTCATCTTGCTGAATCCTTTGTGGTCCGGTCTTCTGTTACGGAAGGAGACTCACACAGAGGATTAGAAAAAATACAGTATCATTTATTTTCAACAAGGAGTGCAGATGGTTTGGGCAGGTGAGTAATTGAGCTGAATATCAGTCTTTAAGTGAGATGATGAGAGTAACACTGTATTTGGTCCTCCAGGAGATCGTGGAATGGAGACAGAGGACTGCACACACTTCAGTTGAAGAGTACACAGAGCTTTCACGGAGCTGACGACTGGAACGGACTAGGGAATGGGACACAGGAGAACACACTGGAGGAAACACAGGAGGTAAGTATATCAGGAAGGTAAGTCTTTCAATGTATCGCACGGATATCATAGAGAAGGAGTCCACTTCGTTGAAACGAGACCGGACACTGGAGTGAAGTGAGGTATGTGCTTTTGAAGGGGAGCTGATGATGATTGCAGATTTGTGACAGGTGCGTGTGATCAGTATTCAGGTGATGGTGTTCACTGTGATTGGGAGGTGGCTGAGCCTGGCCAATCTGTGACACTGATAGACCAAAGATTCTGATGGATTAAGAGTGTCTGATGGTGTTTGTGTGATGATACAGAAACTGAGAGAAGCAGAATATAAACCAGCTGACTACTGCATCACCGTGTGGGGTCTCTTTAATCCAAAAAACACAACGCAGAAGAACACCCATTACAGATTGGTGCCATGACCTATGGTTTGGTTTGCTGATTGCTGACTGCCTGGGATGTTGCAAGGGTGAACATCTGCTGTGACTCTGTTGACATCTTCACTGGTGATCTGCACGACTGTAGTAGTTCATCAGTCACTGGCTTGGACTCTGATTTCTTTTTGATTTTTTGATGGGACAATTCTTCCTGCAAAAGATTTACGGACATTTAATTTATTTGTAATTTCATTTCGAATTCAGTTATTTTCAGACTTATTTGTTAGTGTATTAAAAAAAATTGAGGTAATTCGGTTATGGCAAATAGTAAAGAGGGAGACTTAACCTTTGAACACCATGTAATGTCAGCTGGTAGAGAAAGGGCTACATTATCAGCCACACCTGACAGAAGTTTTCAGTTTTTGGGTCCTGGGTATGCAAGCACTCAGTGCAAGCACAATCTAAGTGCAAGGGGTGGAGCACTTAGATTGCCAATCGATACTAGACCTGGCATGTGCTGTAGTCCAATCACGAAACCTGGCAAACCAGAGTGTACAAAGGTTGAATCAGGACTCACTAATGCAAATGAGTAACCTCATTAGACAAATTGGAGATCGTGTCTGCATTCACAGGTCGACATCACGCAACACGCCGCCCCGTCTCTCCTGATCTGTCGGAAGAACAGAGCGCTAGTGAGACTCGTACATTTATTTTGATTTGTAAAATGTCCCACGAAAACCCACCACTTCAGGTAGACTTAGCACCGCAGACTTATTTAAATATTGCGTGGGAAATACAGATCCGATTGGTTATCCAGATTGAGAAGTCAGCTGATGTTGCCAAGTGTAAACGCGCTGTGTCCTGATTGACTGATGATCCGATCTGCTTGATCAGATTACGATAATCGCATGTTAATGCCAAGTGTAAACACAGCCATAGATGCATCCAAGTTGAATTTGGTACTAAAATCTGAGGTAATTGCACCACCATATTATCGTGGAGATTGTACCGATAAGTGTTCCACAATAGAGTGGGAAGAATTAATTTGAGTGTATCTTAACAAAAAGAAGTGGAAGACTCAGACAGGGTGAAAGAAGTGATGAACAGATCGATGGGGAGGGCCAGGGACATAATAAAGTTTTGGCTGAGTAACAGGACAGTAGCCCCAACTGTAGATGCAGTGTTCACATTTTGAGAGACCATTTCAGCTATTCCAGTAGCTCAGGAATGCCTTTAGCTGATTTGTACTCTGTGAAACCTTATCCCAATGAGAGTCCTTTGGATTACTGGATAAGGTTGAACAACGCGGCGGATGTGGCTGAGCAGAGCCTTAGGGAGGAAGGTAGATCCTTGGAAAATCAAAGTAGAGAACTGGCTTTAATGTTTATTCAACACTGTCCTGATAAAGAACTGTCTTTAGTGTTCAAAAGCAAATCTGCACAGTTATGGACAGCTTCTGAGGTCCAAGAGAGATTGGATGAGATGTTGAGGGAGCAGAAGGCAGTAAGGCAAGCTATGTGTCAACAAACTGCTAAAGTTTCTGAGTCTATGAAAGACTCCTCTTCCTTTTCTTCTAATAGGACAGAATCGGTTGCACCAGCAGCTGATTCTGACACTCTGGACAATGTCTTGACCATGTTGGAAAAGGCTCTAGTGTGCAATGCCCAGTCTGTGCGTGGTGGTTGCCCCAAGAACCCTAACAGACAAAGCGTGAATGCAGAGTTGGTTGGAGCAAAGATCACAGCACCACTGCTCATTGCAAGATGTACAACCTCTGTTTCAAATGATTTTCAACTGGGCACGTGAGTTACAATTGTAAGAAGACGGGAAATCACAGGCAGACAAGGGGATGAAGCATTTCAGGGAAACTAGAGAGCCTCCATTGGGGGGAGGGCAATGTGGGGCAAAATGGAAGTTCTTCCAGGGATATTGATGTTGAGTCGGTCTATTCGTTTTATTGTGAGAATGTAAACAAAGACAAAAGTGTGATTTTTTTCAAAATACTATTCGTTCGGCACAGAATGATAGCCTGTTTTATACAAGTGTTTTGGTACAGGATAAAGTTCATCTGAAGGGCATGTTGGACAGTGGCTCCATGGTTGCTACTTTGAGTGCTGATGTGGTGCCTCAACTGAGAGAAGCTGGAGTCCTGTACCAGGAGTTTTTTAAGCATCAGACATTGTCCTGGTTGGGTGTGGAGTGAAGCAGACTAGTCCCGAAGGCATGTGTGATTTGAAAATTTAGGTATATGGGTTCAGTTTTAGTGTCCCAGTTCTTATTGTCAGTGGGCAGGTGGACCAGCTTATCAGAGAAATTAAGTCGAATGATAAGTTCTGGAGAGTTTTGAATAAACCAGACCAGTCAAGTCAGAATTAAGATTGTCAATTTCTACACATGCTTTCAAGCATTGAGAGGTGGAGGGGTAGTACGATCCCCGACAAGGTGGGCACTTTGAAGTCCAAATCTGCAGTGGTCTTGCAGCCTATGAGTGAGCACCTTGTTTGGGGTCGGCTGCCACCAGGACTGAAACTCTCAGTGGGCAGTACAGTTGTGATTGATCCGAGTACTTCTCGCTCTGTCTACTGTAACGTCCTTATTGGTAGAGTGATCTCGCCTTTATGGGGCGATTGGTTGGATCCCAGTAAAAATTATAAACCCAACAAATTCTGAAATTGTGTTGCACAAGAATGCAAAACTGGCTGATGTTTACCCATGTATCTCATTGGAAGATTTCTATCATATGCCAGAGAAAAAGATTTGTCAGAATGTGGCTATGAGCAGTGACAGTTCTTGTGGTAGCTTATCAGTGAAGAGTTCAGTGTCTGCTGCTAATGTTAATGACATTTGTTTGAATGAGCTGGGCCTCAAAGATTTAAACATGAATGACTGTGAGGTGTCGCCTTTCTGGAGAAACAGGCTCATTGATCTGATAAAGGAATGTGATTGTGTTTTCTCTAGGCATTCGTTGGATTGTGGTGAAACAAAGGGGTTCTCTCATCGCATTCGTTTGACGGATGACAGACCTTTTCGCTTGCCTTACAGCAGAATCTCACCGGCACACTATCACAAGCTGAAGGAGACTCTAGATGAAATGGAGCAGAAAGAGATAATCAGGAAAACATCCAGGTAATTTGCATCACTGTTAGTGTTAGTTTGGAAAAAGAATGGGGACTTGCGACTGTGCACTGACTTTCGGTGACTAAACGCTCGTACAGTGAAGGACGCACATCCTCTCCCTCACCAGGCAGGCGTACTAGCAGCAGAC